AACGAGCGTGCGCACGTGGGCGTGTCCTCCTGTCTCCCGGCTCTCTCTGTGTACACTGGTGGAAAAGCTCTTACACCCCTCTGCCATCAGCCTGGGCGTCTAACTGGCCCGTGTGTACTGCAAAGAATGGGGCCTTGAACAAAAGCGGCTTTCCGTGGGGCCAGCGGGTCTTCCTGCCGTGGTTAGTGAGCTGCCCCGGGCTGTCTGGCTGGGAAGCTGATGCCAGTGCCAGCATCGTTAGTGCGGTCGCGTGAGCTGCACAACCCTGGGTGCAGGGAAACAGGAACGGCTGAAGACGATGGCACCTTCTCCTGGAAACTCGGAATCACCCCTGATTCGTCGGGGCTACAGATGCGGGATGGAGAAAGACGTGCCAACGGGGAGACCCGCCCGTGAATCTGACCATGGTGAGTTTCAGGAAGAAGCTGAACGGTTGCAGGAAGCTCCCAGAGAGGCCGGGGAGGCAGCAGGAGAACTTGCACTGGATCCCAGAGTATGAGAAGACCCAGGTGCCACACGAGGCGTCCCTGCAGGTGGAGCAAACAGCATAAGCAAAGGTCCTGGGGCCGGGACAGCTTGGTGCGCTGGGTGAGCTGAGAATGCTCATGCAGACACGGGGCAGCTGGCCAGCGGGCTGAGACCCGGCGAGACGGGGCAGCTTAGGGAGTGTGGGGAGGGCTAGTCCACAGGTCCGGCAGGCTGCAGGAGGTCTGGGGACCAGGGAGGGGAAGGCAGGAGGGTTGGGCAAAGGGCACACTGAGCGTGAAGTGGCCCCAAGAAGGCCTGGCTGACCCGGAGATTCTGAAGGCCGGAGCAGCCTTCGGAGCTGTCTGAGTCGGGGGCAAGAGGCCTGGGCCTCCCCCGCCTCCCACCAAAGAGCTGTGCCGCGGAGAGGCTGCACTCCCAGCCGAGGGCCGGCCGTGGCGAGGTCCCCGGCAGGTGGGAACCAAGTCTGACATTCGGAAAGAGGGGGACCTGCGTGGCACAGCTGCCGGCAGTGCTGGGAGCCACGGGAGGCGCCCGAGCCTTTGCAAAGCTCAGCCTGGCTCTAGGGCACAGGTGCATCGGAGCGGCTCCGCCGGTGGGTGTCAGGTGGAGGTGCAGGTGGAGCCGGGGCTACCTGGTGGAGCCCAGTGTGTGGGAGGAGGAGACAAGGGAAGGAGGATTTTTCTAGGCTTCTGGCTGGGCGGCTCAGGTTTCCAGTTGCTGAACAGGACGAGGAAGAGAGGATGTTTCTTAGGGACAAAAGGCTCAGTTTGGACTGCAGCTTGACATGCGTGTGCGGGCGGCGCTGTGGCGCAGCGGGCTAAGCCTCTGCCTGCGGAGCCAGCATCCCATATGGTGCCGGTTGCTCCCACACAGGTCCTGGTTGCTCCACTTCCAATCCAGCTCCCTGCTGATGCACCTGGGGAGGCAGTGGAGGACGGCCCGAGTGCTTGGGCCCTGCACCCACGTGGGAGACCCAGAAGAAGCTCATGGCTTCTGGTTTTGGATTGGCCTGGCTCTGGCTATTTTGGCCATCTGGGGAGTGAACCAGTGAAGGAAGACCTCTCTCTCTCTCTCTCTCTCTCTTTCGTTTTCTCTTTCTCTCTGTAACTCTGCCTCTCAAATCATTCAATCAATCTTTAAAAAAGAGAGATGTGAGAGGCATTTGGAGCCTAGACAGCTTCTAAGACGATACCCTCACACTGAGAGTTACTAACACGAGGCATCAGGTTCTCCAGGAAAGCAGAACCCAGGGGAGGCCTACCTGTCTCTAGGCTGCCCTGCATCCATCTGTCTGTCTGTCTGTCATCGACCCATCAATCATTTATCTATCTGCAAATGTGTCTATCTATCTACCTCTCTCTCTCTCTCTCTCTCTATCATCTCTCTGTCTCTGTTTCTCTACTGTAAGGAACTGGCTCACGTGGCAGAGAGGTGTGATAACCCCAAACCTGCAGCGCAGCCCAGCAGGCTGGAAACTCGGCAGGGTTGGTGCTGCGTCCCGAGCTAGAACCTGTCTCCCACTGCGTAGAGGAGGCCCAGCCACGTGGCTGAGAGTGATCTCCATGGCTTGAAGCCGGCTGGGCGTAGGCCTCACTGCCACGGGCGCACACCTCCACAGAACGCCCAGCTTTGGGTTTCATCAAACAGCTGGGCCCTGCAGCCCAGCCGGCTTGGCACATAAAGCTCTCAACTGCAGCTGGTGTTCAGAGCACCATTCTGGCTGGGGGCAGCTTGGGGGGGGGCAGGTCAGGGAGGAGAAGCAGGAGGAGGCCCGAGACAGAGCGGGGGCGCCGGGCAGTCAGAGCCTGAAGGAGCAGCTGGTGAGGGTCAGAGTCTGTGCCAGTCGAGTCGGGAGGCCGGGGCAGACACAGCAGAGTGCAGCAGGCCTCTCCTGCAGGACTTCTCAGGGCCTTTAAAGTGTGTCCACGCATTGCGAAGCCCCGTGGGCGAGGAAGACGCCGTGGGTACATTTCAGCCTTATTTGACCAATCAGGAGCCAGGATTGCTTTGGGGGGGGTGTGGGGGGATCTTTGGGAAACTCCACGGGAGCCATCAACACGCGGAAGAGTGAAAGGCTGGAAGGTGAGCTGCGCAGCTCTGGAGGAGAGTGGGGTCAGGACCGAGCTGGAGCGTGCAACCCCGCGCTGAGGGGCTGGAGGCGCGGACGCAGGAGGCTGCATCTCAGGAGGTGATCCCTTCTCCCCGTGGAGCAGCAGGAGGAGGGCCCCAGGAACTGCCCCCCAACACGCAAGATGGCCCGGTCTCCCGGGACGGTGCATCCCGGCTTTGCCTTCCACCCGATGCAGGATACTCTGTGAGCAAATCTGAACCCAGACAAGACCTGGGCCCCTGAGGTCTGATTTGGGCAGGTGTAGGCTGTGGAGTCACCTTGCTGGATTTATTGGAGAGGGAGAGAGCAAGAGATGAAGGGAGGGAGGGGGTGAGGGTGGGGGGGTCCAATTTGCTGGTTCACTCCCCAGCTGCCTGCTCCAACCAGGTCTCCCACGTGGCAGCCTCCCAGCTATTGCACCCTCAGTGCTGCCTCCCAGGGTCTGCATTAGCGGGAAGTTGGAGCTGGGAAGGAAACCAGGTGCTGTGATGTGGGACCTGGGGGGCTGAGTGCCGGCTCCCCTGCCGGGGCTCGTGTCCTCCTCAGTCCATCGATGTCAAACCAGGGATCCCAGGACATTTTCTATGCTGCCCCCGGAAGCTCGGTTTCCTAATCTACGGAGTGGCTGCTTTGCAGAGTGTGGAAATCACATGAGCTAATGCGGCGAGGCGGCTGGCCTGGTAAGCATGCAGTAGCGGTCGTCCCCGATTTTATCATTTTGCTGTTGCACAAGGCAGTGGTCGTGTCAGCCCAGGAGAGGCCGCCCAAGAGTCTCTTGAGCTTGGCCAGAACCGCAGAGAGGAAGCAGATGTCCCCGGGGGGCCTGCTGGGGGTCCCGGAAGGTGACTCAGCAGGGAGACAGGCATCCCGAGAAGACCCGGAGCCCCATCTCTGGCCATCTTTCAGGGTTGTAGATCTGCCGCCTCACCCCCTGTGGGCTTGGGGGCTGGGCTGCATGCAAGCCGGGAGCTGGGCCTGGTGGTTTCTGCTTAATTGGTTCCGAGACTCCTCCAAGCAGCCTGCCCTTGACAGTCTGGGGAGGCAGAGAGGCGCGGAGCAGCCTGGGGCCTGGGCCTGCAGAGACAGCTCTGTAAAGCCAGCGCCTCCAGCCTGTGGCTCACACGGCGGGGACCTGGTGCCGTGCGACCCTGGGAAGCGCCTCAGTGCCTTCCGGTGGAAAAATCCTCTAAAACTCCCTAAGCCCGCATGGCCTGGGCTTTCGTAGGAAGTGTCCTCTCCCCGGCTAGAATCTGCACCTCCAAGAGGATCTGCAGGGAGGTCCCGCTGCACTCTCCCGTGGCTGGGAAAAGGCACGCGTGTCCGCTGACTGGCAGTCCCAGCGTGGAGCGAACAGCTGAGATCCATCCGCTCAAACCTCAGGGGGCCAGGCCTCCCAAATCAGGGCCAGCAGGATGGCTCCTCCTGGAGACCACGCTTGCTCCTCCCCAGCTTCTGGGGGTTCCAGGCAGCCCTCTGCATCCCTGGGCTTGTCGGGATCATCGCTTGCCCCTGTGCCTCCTCCTCGGTCCCCGTGTCTTCTCCTTTTACCCCTAAGGACACTGGTCATTGGATTTAGGGCCCACCTGAACCTCACACGACCTCTCTCAGTTCTGCAGAGACCCCCTCCCGACTCAAGTCACAATCCGAGCTTCCAGGTAGACGTGGATTGTAGGGGGAGGCATGCTCTCTTCATAGCAGCTGTATCTGACTTAATCTTTGCCAACCATCACCGAGGGGACAACAGAGACCCCAATGGGCCAAGCGACCGTGCCCGAGTTCCCACAGCCAGGGTGTGGCAGAGCTGAGCTGCCACCCAGGGTGGCCCCGGCCTTGTTCACGCCTCCTTGATGGTCCCCAAGGGCCCCTTTGCAGAGTCTCCGTGTCTGAGTGAGCCAGGCTTCCTCAGGGTGCCACGGCCCAGATAAGGAGACCGAGGTCAAGGGCAGAGGGGGGGATGGGCAATGTGTTCCTCAGGGTGCCACGGCCCAGATAAGGAGACCGAGGTCAAGGGCAGAGAGGGGGATGGGCAATGTGTTCCTCAGGGTGCCATGGCCCAGATAAGGAGACCGAGGTCAAGGGCAGAGAGGGGGATGGGCAATGTGTTCCTCAGGGTGCCATGGCCCAGATAAGGAGACCGAGGTCAAGGGCAGAGGGGGGGATGGGCAATGTGTTCCTCAGGGTGCCATGGCCCAGATAAGGAGACCGAGGTCAAGGGCAGAGGGGGGGATGGGCAATGTGTTCCTCAGGGTGCCATGGCCCAGATAAGGAGACCGAGGTCAAGGGCAGAGAGGGGGGATGGGCAATGTGGCTTGATCACATGGTCATCACATGGGCAGTCAGTGGCAGAGCAGGGGCCCCAGCTGGGTCCCCAGAGTTCTTCCCTTACAGTTCAAGGTCCTACCTCAGTGTGAGGCGGGTGAAGGAAGTCAGAGGCCCGAGATGCGTTCTATGACTCCGCCTATGTGAAAGGTCCGGGGCAGGCCAGGCTCCAGGCCTGAAGGTGAGTGGGTGCTGGCAGCGCGGGGGGGCACTGAAGGAAACGGGACCCCTTCTTGGGGTGACGATGCTGCTTTGGAATGAAGTAAGACCCTGAAAACAAGGAAAAGCTGAGACTGATGAACTGTGCGGAATGTGGACTATAATTGATAAAGCTCTCTCTTTTTTAGAGGTTTATTTATTTGAAAGTCAGAGTGACAGAGAGAGAAGGAGAGGCACACACAGAGAAAGATCCTCCATCTGCTGGTTCATGCCCCAAATAACCGCGACAGCGAGGGCTGGACCAGGCCAGAGCCAGGAGCCAGGAGCTTCTTCCAGGTCTCTCACATGGGTGCAGGGGCCCAATACTTGGACCATCTTCTGCTGCTTTGCCAAGTACATTAGCAGGGAGCTGGATCCGAAGTGGAGCAGCTGAGAATGGAGCGGCGCCCATAGGGGATGCGGCGTCGCCTTTACCCAACACACCAGAATGCCGGCCCCTCAATAGAGCTCTCACTGTGAGTCAAAGGTGCCGGCCAGCACCCCGAGGAGGTCACTGTGCAGGAACCAAGTACAGGCCGCCCTGCAAGGCCTAGAGATGCGGTCTGTTGTGGCAGAAACAGCCCAAGTCCTGGCTCCTGTCGGTCCTGCAGAAGCCACTCAAAGGCATGGGATTCCAAGAGCAGGCGCTGCCCCGAGGAGCTGTGTGGCCTCAGTTGGCTGCCTCCCTCTCTGGGCCCTTCCGTTTCCACACTGACCTGGCCCTCACACAAGCACCTGCCTCCCGGCCTGGCAGTGGGGTGGGGCTCCTTGACCCAAGGCCGTTTCGCCCCGGGCAACAGGAAACCACAGACAGACCTCAGCTGCCCATCGCTGACCCCCACTTCCTGCGGGCGTAGGGTGAAGGGTCAGAGGTCTGCCTTTGCAGTGGGATCGGGCATAGCAAAGAGAGAGCGCAGCCCCTCGCTGGGTTGTGTAAAATGGAGACTTCACCTCTGAACCGTGGAGACGCCTCTCCAGTGGCCTCGTCTCCAGCGTGAGGACCCCTCAGGTCCCCTGGTGTCCGGGTCACATCGCTGCATCTGGCACTTGCCTACTCAGGCCTGGGTGGACTCACAGGCCAGTCCCCTGGCTTGGTTCCCTGAATCCTGCCTGGGCTTCCCTCCACCCAGGGGCCAGGAGTGCAGGGCCTGCTCCTGTCGCCTGGCTGGGTAGGACTGGGAGGGGAGGAGGAGGCCCCCCTGGCTTGTCGTGTGTGCTCAGAGCCCTGCTCAGCTTCCAGTCCTGTGGCTTCCCTCGGCATTGCAGGCTTCCTCGAGCCACGTGCACACTTGTGACAAAATTCCGGCTGCATGAGCTGCCTCTGGCGCTTGTGGGAACGTCCTCAGAGCTCAGGTGTTCAACGAGGGGGGTGCAGGCGGGGTGGGAAGAGCAGGCACTGGAGGGGGGATGGAGAATGCTCTGGGGCCCTGTGTGAGCCTTGGGTCTAATGTGGCTTGCGGGGAGAGAAAGGTTGGAAGTAGAGACTGCGAGACAGAGACAGGACGAGGCAGGCCATGCTAGGGGTATGGAGCCTTATCCCAAGTGGGGCGGGACACTGTTGAAGGGTTTCCCTTTGAAGAGTGCCCTCATCACCATCATCATCACCTCCATCACTGTCACTGATTCTGATGCGTGCTCAAGGCCAACCATGCTCCAGGCCCTGTGCTGAGCTTGTCCATACGTTAATCCTGCACAGTCCCAAGAGGCAGATGCCACATTTCTTTTGGGTTGATCGACTGATTTGACAGAGAGAGAGAGAGAGAGAGAAACCTTCCATCTGCTGGTTCACTCCCCACGTGGCCACAGTGGCCGGAGCTGGGCCAGACTGAAGCCAAGAGCCAGGTGCTTCTTCCGGGTCTCCCATGTGGGTGCAGGGCCCCAAGCACTTGGGCCACCTTCTGCTGCCTTCTCAGGCACATTAGCAGGGAGCTGGATGGAAGTGGAGCAGCCAGAGCTCGAACCAGTGCCCATTTGGGATGCCAGCATTGCAGGTGGCAGCTTTACCCGCTATGCCACAGCGCCGGCCTCCACAGGGTATCACAAGATGTTGACCCGCTAGGTGGAAGGGTACAATGAACAATACACCCCAGGTCTCCGGCACAGGTGGACATGACGTGGACAGGTCAGGAGCTGGTGAGGGGGAACTGAGATTGCCAGCAGCACTCACCGCACCCCACCTGCTTCCATGAAGATCCAACATGGCTGCAGGCTCGGCACACCCCTTCCCCATCGTGCACCTGAGCCTCACTTCCCATCATGCACGAGAGGGCTTGCTACCTTCCTATACATGGCCACGTGTGTGCTCCAGCCTTGGCATTTCCAAGATCCCAAAAAAAGGCACACAGAGGGAGCAGTACTCAGCCCCACCCCAATTTTGCCTCCTTTGAATTTCAAATAGGCCCTGCCCTGGCACCTGCCCCCTAATAAAACGCTGGTCTAAACTTGGGTGGGGCAGCAGCCCCTCCTTCCTCCTGAAGAGAGGTTGGCCCCAGTGTGCTAACCTCTCAACAAATCCTGCTTTCCTGCACACCTCTGCGTCTCCTCCTGGAACCCCGTTCTCGCATGCAGTTGAGAACTCGAAGAAGCCCAGCCAGAGCCCAAGTCCCCCCAACAGAGGGATGCCTGGGATGTGCAGTGCCGTTTGAGTTTTGGTCCCTCACTCACGAGTTCAATACGAACAACGAAGGAGTCCCGAAAGGGAATGGGTGATGAGCTCCCCCTCACCGGGTAGATGCAGGCAGTGGCTTTAGATCTGGTATGGACAGGAGACCGCAGACTTGCAGGGAAGGCCCCCGGCAGGCCCTGCACCATGCACGCTGCCTGTGTGATTGATCGGTGGCCTCTTGGGCCCCTGGCAGGAGTTTGGCAATGAAGTAGCCATAGAGGAATGTAGCAAGGGGGAGGCTGTTCAAGCTCTGTGAATATATTTTTTTCATGTCTTTCTGGAATTTTCTGAAACTGCACTGAGTTCATTTTGGAATGTACATTTAATGCACGTTAATAAGAGTGCACGCTGAGTATGCATCACCCCCTGCGTTAAGCCCATAGGGATATGCATCACGAAAGCTGGCAGACCACGGATTCACACGCAGAACCCAAAGAAATAAATGGAATTCTCCCAAGGATTCCGATTGCCCGAGACAGCGTCCTGGAGACAAAACTCCAGGCCTGTTTTGGGAATCGTAGGGAATGAGAGAGCTATGCAGAGACTCCTTGTCCATCCGTTTATTGTGCTATGCAGAAGAGACACGTGTTTCCATGGTGCGCCAAGTCCCGGCATGGGAGACGCCGACAGTGGGACAGCTTTTGGGGTCTTTTGCAGGACAGGTGTTCTTTATCAGGGAATCAGCACAGTGCCCAGGGCAGCTCCTACCCCAGGCCCAGCAGTGGCATCTCAGACCGCGAGAGGACCCCTAACTGACCATTAGGAGCCCAGGGGGTGTGGCCCTGCTCCTAGGAGACCTAGAACACCCCAGCTCTGCGGGTGGAGTGAGAGCTACACATGGTAAAGGGTGGCCTCCTCCCCCCATGCATACTCATGGCTCATTTGAATACTAAACAGTTCCGACTTCCTATTCCACCTGTTTGCTCCCTCTAGTCCCAAGCGTGTTACTGGGACATCTTTTTGATCCTTTCTGGTTTAAATTTAGAGGCTTCGGGGCTCCGTGCCATGCCGTCGCTCCTGGTCCTGCAGGCGGCAGCCTCTCCAGGGGGCCGCGAGCTGAGAGCTGTCGGAGTTCCTGCGGTACTGTCCCCGGCTGGGTAATGCGGCTCTCGTCTCCCCGCGGGGCTCCAACCATGCTGGCCACGGGAGGCAGACACGGATTCCCCAGGGGACTGAGGCTTCTGACCAAGGATGCGGCTGGTCCAGCTTCCTCCCCTGGGCTCCGCCAACACGCTGACCACTGGAGGCGGAGCCTGAGCAACTCCGCCCTCTGGTTCTGTGGAAAGGGACAGGCAGGGAAGGCCCTGAGGGAGGGCTTTCTGTCTCCTTCCCCTTGGCCCTCGGAACTGTCCATCTTGGGGGAGTGCTGTCCCCAGAAGGGGGTCCTCAAGGTCACCTCGGCCAGGGCCCAGGCTGCCCTGGGCTGTGGGCTGCACGGATGAAGGCTCAATCCACCACATAGAGGGGTTGGTGGCCCTGGCTTTGGGTCAGTGACCTTTATGTCCTGTCGCTGGCCAGCTGTCTGTAGTGGCCACCACTGCCTCCTACTCAAGCTCTTCTTGGGGTCCCCCCGGGCCCACAAGTGGTCACCAGAGCTGGGTCATCCTGGGGCAGCTCCTGCCTGCGGCAGGGTCTGAGCTCCGTGACCCAGGGGCAGGTCCCCTCAGGCTTCTCGCTCCCTCTGCCTCGTCACACGGCAAACATACTTTGTGCATGCATGTGGGGGGCGGGGTGATGGGAAGGAAAGGTGGCAGGGAGCCCAGGGTACTGAACGCCTACTGTGTGCAGGACACTGGTGGGTGCTGTCCACCATCCCTGGCTTCCAGTCTGAGTGTCCTCCATGGAGCCCCTTCTCAACCTTAGCGTCTGTCCCTTATAACGAACGTGTCCCCACTCGGTGTACGTAGTGAGACCTCACGTGCACATAGCACCTGTTGCTTTTCAAAGTCCTTTTATGCCCGCTGTCCGCATGAAACACGGGACACGGCAGTCCCCAGGAGACTGAGGCAGGGACGAGGTGGGTGGTGACTGGCTGAGTGGAACCCTGGGCTCCTCACACCTCTGCCCCTGGATGCCCACGCTGTCTCGCTTGGCCTCGTCACGGAGGAGCCTCCTGGAGGTCCTGAGTGCTTAGTCATCCTCGCTTGAGTGTCCAGAAGTCCAGGTTCATCCAAGACATGGACCTTGCCTCTTCTTTCCCCGCTCTTGCCCAAGCATTCAGCGTGTGGCACCTGCAGCAAGTCCGTCTGTGTGCTCATCAACTCGTCCATCACGGAGGACAGCTGCAGGATCCTGGTCCCCGGGTTCCTGTCAGGGATCTCTCAGAGTTCAACCTGCATGAATGCAGATCCTCTAAGGTCCCAGCTGAGCAGATTAAAGAAACCTAGGGTGATAACTGAGCACTTGGCCACGGCCCCATAGTGGGGGTGGCCATTCTGGTGACCTGAGCTGTTACGCTGTGGCAGAAAGTGACACCACGTGGGAGGGAGGCTCAGTCACTGCTGTCCCTGCCCCACGCACCCTCCACTCCTGAGAAGGAGCAGGCTGGCCGGGGATGGCAGCCGACAAGGGCAAATGCCGCTGTCGTGGTTATGGCGCCCTTGCCGGTGCGTGAGGTCTCCCATCCTCATAGCCACGCTCACTGCAATGCGGCAGTGCACCAATCGCTCCCCTGTGGTTACGGGAGACACCGCTGCGTCGCGCACGGTCAGGTGGGATGGCCTCTGCTCCCTCCTGGGCGCCCGCTGTGGCGCGTCAGTCCCTCACACACGGACGCAGCAGCCCCTGCTGGCGGTTCACTGGCTGCTCCTCGTCCACTCTGGCAGCTTGTGGATTTGGCGCTCCACCGAGATGGAGGTCCGCAGCGTGCCCATGGAGCTCTCCGCCTGCACGGGTTCCAGCACGCAGCCCGCCTTGGGGCAGGCCGCCCGGTACACCTCCCGGGACTTCTTCCGGAAGCGCTTGCCCACAATCACGTAGACCAGCGGGTTGAGGCAGCTGTTACTGTAGCCCATGAAGGAGCCGACCTGCGTGATGACGTCGATGACGTGCTCGTCCCAGCAGCTGGAGAGGACTCCGAGCTTCAGCAGCGTGTCCAGGAAGGTGCTGACCTGGAAGGGGAGCCAGCACACCACGAACAGCAGCAGCACGGCCAGCACCAGCACCGTGGCCCTCCTCTCCGTCTGGATCTCCTTGAACTTCTGCATCTCGTTGTTGCGCAGCACCTGCAGGATCTGCACGGTGCAGAAGGTGATGACGCTCAGGGGCAGCAGGAAGCCCACCAGGTTCAGGAGGACGTTGGTGAACACCTCCCAGGAGCGGGACGGGTAGTCGATGATGCAGGCGGTCACGTTGTAGCCCTCGTCTCGGTAGTCCTTCATGGTGCGGAACACCAGCATGGGCGAGCTCAGCAGCAGGGTGCAGCCCCAGATCACCAGGCTGTAGAGTTTGGCCCAGCGCACCCTGCGCATGCGGCCTATGGACATGGTTTTCACCAGGGCCAGGTAGCGGTCAATGCTGACCAGCATCAGGAAGCAGATGCTGCTGTACAGGTTCATGTAGATCATGGTGTTCACCACGCGGCACAGGGCCTCCCCGAAGAGCCAGTCGAAGTGGTTGGCGATGGTGACGGCCCAGAAGGGCAGCCCGCAGGCCAAGATCAGGTCGGCCGCCGCCAGGTTGCCCAGGTAGACCTCGGCCACCGTGCAGCTGCTCTTGTGCAGGCAGAAGACGCTGAGCACAAAGAGGTTCTCGAGGGTGGCGAGGACAAACAAGACCCAGAGGAAGGGGGCCTGGATGACGTTGAGCCAGCCCGACCACTCCGTGTTGGGACAGCCACTGCTCTGGGAGACAGACCCGTTCAGAGCGGGCGCGAGCACTTGAGAGGTGATGTTGAGCATTTCGGCGCTGAAAGAAAGTGGAAAAGAGGCTATTACCCCTCGGGGCCAGGCGAGGAAGGGGGGACCGTGCTGTGGAGGCGAGGGGGCTGAGAGGCCCGTGCGCTCGGCAGCAAACCAGGACGCGGCGGCAAAGCCCTGGTGGGACTTGGGCTGGGGCCCTTGTCCGTCTCCCTTAGCCCAGCGTGTCCTTGCTGTCCTTTATCAAAAGGACCTCACTGACTCCAGGCGGCGACACCGCTGGCCCGACAGGGTCCCCATCCCCAGACTCCAGCAGTCATACCCTGTTGACGAGTATCGTCCGGAGGGGTTTGTGTCGGGGAATTCCCGGTCCAGGCAGAGAAATCCCAGGTCTGGGCAGAGGCAGCTACCACTTGCATGGAACCTTCCCCCTCTCCCTGCCCCGAGACCGACCAGAACCCGCCTGGCAACCACAAATCCCCTAAAGAGCACGGCACCGCTGACCAACCATGAACTTGGACACCAGCCAAGCAGGCACCTCTCAGCCCCGATCTCGGTCCATAAGAACCATCACCGCCAACTCCTCAGGGAGCCCGGGAATTCAGCAATGGCTGCCCAGCTCCTTGCTCTGCGCTTTGCAGTAGTCACTGACTTTCTCCCACCACCATGATGTCAGCGTTTGCTTTCTCCACCTCGGGCAAGAGGACCCAGGTCTGGGGGTTCTGTATCAGCACCTCCAACCAGCTTGGGGGTTATTGTGCAAGAGAGACGTGCCCTGAACCCCCACAACTCTGAGCTACACAAACCTCTGCTTTGTCAAGTTCACCTGTCCCAGGTAATGTGTTGCAGTCATGCACACTGGTCTAACCCACTGCGTTTGGCTCCGTAAACAGCAGGTGCTATCCATTCTTGCCAACCTATGAAAACAGCCGGCCTCACACGCCAGCACCACTCTCCTGGGCTTCTGCTCCCCAGGCAGCGAGCTCAGCATGAAGCCTCTCCCGCTCTCAGGTGAGTCTTGCGGCCATCAGGCGGGCTGCTTTCCAGAAATGTTGCTGTCAAGGGTCGTTCCTGGCCGGTGCCGCGGCTCACTAGGCTAATCCTCCACCTAGTGGTGCCGGCACACCGGATTCTAGTCCCTGTCGGGGTGCCGGATTCTTTCCCGGTTACCCCTCTTCCAGGCCAGCTCTCTGCTGTGGCTCGGGAAGGCAGTGGAGGATGGCCCAAGTACTTGGGCCCTGCACCCCATGGGAGACCAGGAGAAGCACCTGGCTCCTGCCATTGGATCAGCATGGAGGGTGAACCAACGGCAAAAGGAAGACCTTTCTTTCTCTCTGTCTCTCTCTTTCTCACTGTCCACTCTGCCTGTCAAAAAAAAAAAAAAAAAAAAAAAGAAAAAAAAAGAAAAAAAAGAAAAAAAAGGGTCGTTCCTCTCTCCCTTCAGCCAGGAGTCGGGGGTTTGGCCAGGCCTGGGTCTCGACCCTGGTTGTGTGGTCTTGGGTGACCTGAGCTTCCACCTTGATCTGGAGCAGGCTACTGCTCCCCTCCTGACTCACCTGTGTGCCAGGTGCAAGGCTCCCATCCGAGAGTGGACGTGGACGTGAGCATTGAGCCTCGCGGTTAAGATGTCTGCGTCCCGGACCGGAGCACCCGGCTTTGACCCCCGACCCCAGCTCCTGACTCCAGCTTCCTGCTAACGCAGACCCTGGGAAGGCATGATGATGATTCAGGCAGTGAGGTTCCTGCCACCCATGTGGGGGACCCAGATTGTGTTTCTGGCTCCTGGCTTTGTCCCTAGCTGGGCTGCTGTGGGCCTGTAGGGAGCAGACCAGCAGGTGGAGGTCACCTCTTCCTATCGGCCTCTCAAAGAAAGAAAGAAAGATCAGAGAGTGGCTGTGAAGTCCCGTGGACAGGCCTGCAGCACGCCGTGGGGGCTGGGCAGGTCCTCCCGGTGACCTGCAGCGCGGCCAAGGGAAGGCAGACCCGAAGCTCTTCCCGGGGAAGCCCAGTATTGGGCAGGCTCACGGAGGGGGATCTGAGACACAGACCTGGGGGAGCCTACTCCCTGCTCCCAGGATTTCCCAGGGGCAGCCCCGCTCTCCCCCAGAGCAGCCGCCTGGCCTGCTGGAGCCAGACTGTGATGTGTGAGTAACCCTTGAATTAGCCTTTTATCCCGTGAGTGTTTCCTGAGCATCTGCCCCGCGCTGAGCGACTGCCCCGGGCGCAGGGGCTCAGAGGAGCTCCCGCCGTTGGGCTCCTGCCCTGCCCAAGCCCCCGACAACTGTAGCCCAGCCAGTGATGGGTGCTGCAGGGTGTGGGGTATGGGACGTGGGACTGCGGTGGTGACAGGTGGAGGAGGCTGGGGGTGGCTGCAGCTGGGTCTTGAAGGGTGAGAATTTCAGCAGCAGATGGGGAGGAGGGCGGGTGGACCAGGTGGAGGGGAACGGGGGTGGAAAAGCCGCTGGCCTGTTCTGGAAGCTGGCACCAGATGCTGGGGCGGAGGAAAAGCCCAGAGATGCAGTCGGGCCAGGGACAAGAAGACTGGTCCTCTGGGAGTGAGGCTTTGCCCTGAGGGCATTAGGCATGGAGGCAATGGTGCTGGAAGAAGGTTCTAGAAAGATCTCTCCGGCACAGCAGTGTCCAAACTTCTGAGATGTTCCTCCCCTTGGAAGGCGCAGACTGGTTGCTCCTCCCACGGCTGTGGTGCACACGGGGCTCGCCCCTCGCCGGCAGCAGCCGTGATGGCGGGGGCCTTCCGAGGCCTGCCAGAACATGTATGGCAGCCTCTGCCAGGGCCTCTTGAGCTGCTTGCCCTGGGGAGGCCAGCCACTACAGCGTGGGGACACTCCAGCCTCCATGTGCAAGCCAGCTTGCTCTGGGCAGCGGCCCTCTGGCCCCAGTGAGGCCTCCCGTGGTCCCGGCCCCCCAGCCTGTCCCAACCCCAGCTGAGGCCCAGGAGACATGCCAAGCTCCATGTTCTGGCCCTGTGGGAACCGGCAGCCTCTTCTCCCTGGGGCCCCAGAGGGAGGCCCTTCTGCGCCGTCCAGCCCTCAGCCCTGCTTCTGCAGCCACAGAAAGTGCACCCTCGGAAGCCCGGGCTTGGGGTGTGGTCGTCTCCGTGGGGTGGCTCACGAGCCCGTTCCTAACTTCTCAGCCAGACAGCTGGTAGCCGAGGGGGGAGCACCCTGGGCCAGAGCTGGTCCTGAGGAACCTCGGGATGGTCAAAGACCCGTAGTGGGTGCAGAATCTGGAGCTGTAGGGCCAGCGCTCTGTGTCCAGGCTGACGTACCCATCTGATTGTCTCCCTGGGCGCGGCAGCTGTCACGGGACCAAGGAAGGGCCCGGGCTGCGTGTCGCCAACACTGCCAGCCTCAGCTGTCACCAACACTGCCTGCCTCAACACGGAGCTCCTTTCCTCTGCCCCAATTCTGAATCTGTCCCCCTCACAGGCTCTCTTTGGAGTGTCCTGGTCTCTCACCAGATGTCAGCACGTGTCCACGGCAACGTGGCTCGTGGGAGACCCCCTGGGTGTTGATGTCAGTGTGTGGCTCTCTTGGCTTCATTTCCAAGTTCACCAGGGGGAGCTCACCCACGACAGCCGGAGTGAGTCCTCCTCCTGCCCCCACCCCAGCCCCGCGGATCCACGCTGCTGCTGCTCCCAGCGGTCCCACTGGGAGTGGGACATTTGTTGTCTCCGGCTTAACATTGCCTGGTGCCTCAACCATTGTCCAAGACACGAGGGTCCAGCTCTCCTGGGAGCTCCCCTGGTTGTCTCCCCACCCCCACCCCTAAACAGTGAGCTGGGGAACCCCTGTGACTCACCCCAGAGAGGCTGTGGCAGGCATGGGGTCGTCATAGACTGTCAGGAACATTGATGTCTTCAAGGAAGAGAACATTTGGACTCCGATGGGGATGTAAGCAAGGCTGCGCCTGGGCCGACCGGAGGAGAAAAGAGGGTGAGTGGGACAGGAAGGGCCAGCGCCGCCAAGTCCACGGCTTCTGCACTGGGGACAGGGGTGGAGGGAGGCTGCATTCGTGAGCGCTGCCTACGTCCTGCGTGAGAACAGTCACAGCCCCTGGGAGCTCACGGTGTGGTGGAGGGAGCCAGACGTGGCCCGGTCACTGAGCACCTAAGGGTGCACTCCCGTGAGAGCACACAGCACCCATCCCCCATCCAGCAGGGTGAATGGGTGCTTCAGGTAAGAGCTGTGTGTGTGAATCATTATTGTAAAAACACATTTTAGGGGTGGCCATTTGGCCCAGCCAGGAGCCAGGACCTCCATCCTTGCCTTCACGTGGGTGACAGGGGCCGAGGACTTGGGCCATCACCTGCTGCCTCCAAGGTGCATCAGCAGGAAACTCGAGTTGGAGTGGAGCCAGGACTTGAACCCAGGCCCTCTGAAATGGGATGCGGGTGTCCCGAGTGGTGTCTTAACCACTGAGCCCAAATCCCCTCATTCTAAATGGATGTTTTAGATGTTACGGCCAACACTGATTCGCTTGTATTCATCTCGCTCAGAATCCCATCCAAGCAGACTTATTTTTAAACCATTCCCTCCACTGACTCAAAAAACCCTGGCTCTGGAGCTGTCGGGATGAATCCCACCCTCGGCTCAGAGAGAGCCATTGGCCTCCCAGGTCCTTCCTCTTGGGGCCCTGGAGGCCGTGGTGATGTCATCTCACAGCCAAGGGTTGCCTTGCTGTGGGGTCCCCAGACGCGTGGCCAGTGATGGGTGCCGGGCACGCTGCCCCTGTCTTAGCTGAGGGAGCCTGAGAGACAGCAGGTGCTGGAAGAACTCTTTTTTTTTTAAGTTAATTTTTTTTATTTGACAGGTAGAGTTACAGACAGTGAGAGAGAGAGAGACAAAGAGAAAGGTTTTCCTTCCATTGGTTCACCCCCCAAATGACCACTACAGCCGGCGCTGCGCCTATCTGAAGGCAGGAGCCAGGTGCTTCTCCTGGTCTCCCATGGGGTGCAGGGCCCAAGCACTTCGGCCATCCTCTACTGCCCTCCTGGCCACAGCACAGAGCTGGCCTGGAAGAGGGGCAGCCGGGACTAGAACCCGGCACCCATATGGGATGCTGGCGCCGCAGGTAGGGCATTAATGAATTGAGCCGTGGTGCCGGCCCCTGGAAGAACTCTTGAGCTTCCTGGAGCAGGTGAGCGGGCCCCCCCACTCCCTGTCTCGGAGGGGGCACCAGGGGGAATCTGAACACGTGCATGGCCTTGCCGCAGCCCCGCTTCCTCTGCTCGCCGCATCTCCGCCACTCTGCACTCCTGCATACGCAGCCTGCCTGACTTCTTCCCGTCTGCATTTCCTTACGAGGGTACCCCTGTCACATCAACCCCCTTAAACACCTGTTCTCCCGTGAATCTGCCGTTTGCTACAGGAGCTCCAAGCAAGGACTTGAGAGGGGAGAAAGGCAAGGGGTCTCCCCTCCCCCGTGCTTGGTGGCTGTGTGTTAAGCCGGGAAGCGCCTCCCTGAGTGAGGGCTGCACACGGCAGAGCAGACAATCGGGCACATGCCCGTGTGCCTCCACCAGCTCCCCAGCGCTCACGGCGGGAGCGCGTCCCCTGCGGGTTCACGTGCTGCGTGTGTGTGTGTGTGTGTGTGTGTGTGTGTTTCCTCGTGGTGGCAGTGCGGGCAGCTGGAGCTTTCGAGAAGGGATCAATGCGTTTCTTTCGCAAGTGAATGCCCCCCCCCATCTCAGAGACCCGGATGCATTACTGGGCCAGCCTCCCATTTTCTGCCATGAGCTGCAGCAGCACCGACCACTCCCCTGTGCTGGGTTTCCCAGCCTGCAGTGCTGCGAGCCAGAAGAAACCTCTCAGCTTGTCAGTGACCCAGTCTCAGGAATTCTGCCACTGCCGCAGACACGAGGTTTGCAACCAAGGCAGCGGCTGCAGGGTCTAGCCAGAGTCTGACGGCTAACTTCGTATCCCATTGCATTTATTTTTAAGTCACCATTCTTTAGTGACAAGCACTACTCACGGGGCCAGCACTGCAGTGCCAGCATCCCATATGGACACTGGTTCTAGTCCTGGCTGCTCCTCTTCCAGGCCAGCTCTCTGCTGTGGCCTGGGAAAGCAGTGGAAGATGGCCCAAGTGCTTGGGCCCCTGCACCCATGTGGGAGACCTGGAGAAAGCTCCCGGCTCCTGGCTTCAGATCAGCACAGCTCTGACCACTGTGGCCATTTAGGGAGTGAACCAGAGGATGGGAGACCTTTCTCTGTCTCTTCCTCTCTTTGTCTGTAACTCTCTCTCTCAAATAAATAAAATCTTTAAAAAAACCACTACTCATGTCCTGTTTAGATGGCTGATGGGAAGTTACAGTCCAAAGTAAGTCACTATTAAGGAAATAGTAGTACAGGTCCCACAGACACAGCAGGAGCAGGGAGAGTGGACCACCAACCACGGAAACCACAGGGCGAAAGCGGGCAGCTGGGACCCGCGTCCCCGAGGGAGGCCGCCAGGGTACCAGCTGATCCTGGGTAAATTCCTTGCCAACTGTGGGTCTCTGTTTCCTCATGGAGGGGATTTTCTAGATGGTCTGGAGGCTTTGCACAGCCACACCCCTGGAGAGGGGAGGCAGGGAGCACCTCGGGCTGAAGCTGTGTGCAGTGGCCCTGGGCTCAGCACACGGAGTCGTCAGAGGTCACCTCCTCACCCTGGGCATCAGAGGCTCTTCTGGAGACAGACGCCATGAGTCAGGCCCAGCAAGGTCCCCGTGCAGGACGTGGGCCACAGACATGGCTCCCCGCAGCCTCTAGGTGGCCTAGGCCAGGGCCCTGCCCAAGCGGAAGCCATGCCTGAGCCACGAGCCCTCTGCCCTCTGCCCAGCTCCACTGCACAAGAGGAGCCCTTTGGAATCCAGGGAGGCAGCCTCGGCATTCCCCGGCGCCGTGCCGTGCCAGTGTTACGTCTCTTCCGGAAATGTCGCAGAGAGCTGGCCTGCAGGGCAGCACGAGGCTGAGACCCAGGGAAGACAGAAGAGTTGGCGCCCAGCACAGGTGTTCCCATCGTGCCTGGACCCGGGAGTCAGGCTGGTGTGTTGGCTCTGCCCCTGGGCTCTGGGTAGCATGGGGACAACCTCCCCTGAGGGGGGCACTGTGGGGCTCTCCACCTTATTTCTTTAATTTTGTTCCTATGTTTCCAAGCAACGGAGGGACCATTACTCCCTTCCCCACTTTACAGATGAGCAAATAGGCAGAGCCGACAAGACTAGAGCTGAGCTTTGAATCCAGGCAGTGTGGACCAGAATCCTAGTTACTCGTTTATTTTTCAAGCTTTTTATTTTGGAAAAGGCTGACTGTCTCCGCACACTGATACGGTAGCATCCCGACACTGTGTGTGCCTTTCAACCGGCTTCGATAACTGCCTACTCACAGCCAGCCAGCCTTCTTGGCCCCGTTCCGCCCTCTCCTGAATCGTTCGATGCACATCCTGCGTGTCTATCATTTAATCTCTAAATATCTCAGTACAGAGCCGTACAAGCTAAGGACTCTTATTTCAGAAAATGACCACACAGCCATTATCACACCTAGAAGCAGCTCACAAGAAATTAGCGCTAGTGCCGCAGTCCGGGCCGTGCGCCAGCTCTCGTCCTCCCAAGCATCGCATGCTGCCCGCTTGCCCAGAGTGGATTTTCTCAAATCAGAATCCAATTTGCTTTACGCAGCGAGGCTATGATGGGCCCTTCAGCTCCCCTGAGGTCCCTTCCTGTCCTTTCTTCCAACCCCCGGGGTTCGCCCAGTGGATATTGGCACAGCCTGGGGGCATAGAGACAGACTGTGAGTGAGAGGCCAGGTTAGCGTCCTAGTAGCCCCGTTAAAGAAAGCAAAGGTGAAATGAACTTTAATAATGTGTGGTTTAACTGAGTGCACCTGCTGCAGTTTGGCTGCCGGTTTATTCCCCCGAGGTTCAGGTGCCCGGGGGCTTGGTTTCCAAGGTGCAGTGTTCAGGAGGCCCGAGGGGGAAGCATTAAAAGGCTGGGCTGCTGGACGGTCATCGGGTCACGGCATGCCATCCTCGCCGGTGGATTGACTCGGCTCTCAGGAGTCAGGCCTGGCAGGACTGGTCTAGCTCCCACTAAAGCAGGTTGTTCTAAGAGACGGAGCCTGACCCCCGCCCAGTCTCTGTCTGGCGGCCTTGCTTGCACACGAGTCCTCCTGCCCCTGACCAGTGCCTTCTGTGGTTCTCCACCTCTGCGCTCTCACTGGGATGCTGGCGCCGTGCTGTGTAGATCGGCCAGCAGCCTGAATTGTGAGCCAAATAAACCTCGCTCTAAGTCACCCAGCCTCGGGCATTTTGCCATAGCAAAGCAAAGTGTCCCGGATGAAGGCTGAGTCCGGGACACTTGCCTTGCAACACGAAAGCCATGTGTGGAATCAGTAGTGAGCATTTCCTACCGATGCGTGTTCCACACTCACCATACACCCCAGCTTCACCCAGCCGAGTCCAGGTGCCGAAGGCCACCTGCAGCGCGTGGCCACCGCAGGGGGCGGCTCAGCTGGAGAGCGTGACCACTCACTGCATCCTCCTCAGAGCCTGGGGGCTGTGATCCACTGAGAGACAGATGTGGGAAGGGTCTTTCACCCCACGTCCTGACACGGGGCCCCTAAAACCCTCGGGACTTCCTGGGTGTTTCTGTCCTAAGGGGGCGACTCCTGCTGTGTTCCTGGCCAACTGCAGGACAGGAGCCGCCTGCCAGAAAGACCAAGCCTCACGCCCTCCCTCCAGGATGGTGGGGCGGCTGGAGGTTGGGTTAGCAGTCAGCCAAGCCCTTGTGAGAAAGCCTGCAGCAGAACCCCTCCTACACGGGGTTGGGAGAGCTTCCGGGATGGCGAGCACGTGGAGCTGCTGCCAGGGTGGCGCCCAGAGCGGCACGGGAGCACCACGCCCCTCCCCGTCGGTGCCCCATGCAGCCC